AATATTCAAAAAAAAAATTTATTTCCGACGTACCGACCCTAATTTTTTCACGATATGAAATCGGAACCACAGGTATTTTTTTGCGCCTGAGTTTCCAGCAAACACTCTCTGATTTATTGTTCATGTGTTTCACCTCCAAAAACATTGTGCATCATACTCTAGAGCATTTTGCTGTTGTCATCCTCTAGCGTGGTTCAAATTTATGAATTTTTATTATATAAAATATATAGTGTTTTATAGAGATTTCGAGCACTGATAAAAATGATAATCTCACATGTGAAATTATTCATGATAATCTCACATGTGAAAATTATCGCTTTTCAATTATCGCTTTTCTGTAAAAATTATCGCTTACAAAGATTGTCCTTTATATAATAAACAGAAAAATACATGGGTGGTTGGAAATACCAGATTTATTTTTCGTGTTGAACATGACATCTTACTCGTTCGCTGCGCTCACTTGTGAGATATCTTGTTTAACACTCGAAATAAATCTGGTATTTCCGCGCACCCATGTATTATTCTCTATTGAAACTACAACTTGACTGGTTTAAATTATTATCAAGTTATCAGTAATTGTAAAAGTTGCAGATAGAAGTGTTTTGTTTTATATTATTATCAAGTTATCAGTGTTCGCAAAACCTCCAAATCCTTAATTTCAAATTCCCCGCCGGGGCTAAGCTAAGGTTCGAGTGAAAATGCCCAATCCCAGGGATGTGCTTTACAGGAAAATGGCTCGGCGAGGAAGATGGGCACACTTGGATTTGACTGATGCATGAAAAGTCATGGAAAAAGAAAAAACTTTTCATATTGCTACTATAAAATGGCTTTTTGTACTTATTCCGGTGCTTATTCCAGACTGCTTGTCAAATATTTACTTGCTAGAAGTAGAAATTTACTCTGACCACTGGATGAAGAAGACATTAAATAAGTACTGGTCAATAAACAGAAATGCATTTTATTTCATACTATTACAATTTTATTTTTATACTATAAAAATAAAATATAAACATGCAGCATAGAATATGCAAATTCGAGACAAAATTATTGTTGAATCTGTTCATTTATAGGATTTTATAACAAATAGCAACTATAAAAGTTTATACCTTGTCTTCACATCGCTTTATTCTGTTAGCCAATGCTTTTAAATTTACATATTTTAGAATCAGTTCCTTTCCTGGTAACTGCATTTCTAAATGAAATCATCGTGAGTAGTGAGTGCTGAGCAGGCCGTTTTACTATAAACAAATTTTAGGAATTGATAACAATTTTGAAAAATATATCGTTGCACATTCGGTCACACTCGGGAAATGTTCTTAGTATGTTGTACCGTCGCTTGCAACTAACGATGAACAGTTGCTCATAAAAACATTCGCGTGATTAGAATCTTCAATGTTTGTCAAGACCAACAACACTTAATTGTTATTTCCCATGTGTACAATATTAAATAACAAAACTTTGTGTGGTCTGAACGTGTTGGGCTAGAGACCTACTGGAACCCTTTACAGGCTTTTTAATGAGAATAGAGAATGTTTTATCTGCAACTGTTCACCCTTAGTTGCAACCGACGGTATTTGACAGCATAAAATTGCCTGTGGCTGTGATAACTGATATAAATAAAATACAGTCTGGTTATACTGACTTGAGCGTGTCATGACAAACTCTTTATTGGAAAATTGTGAAGAAATAGTCGAATATAGAGGGTCGAATATCATACTTCAACTTGTATATATAGCTACAGTATCATTGGTACATAGCGTTGTGAAGACAAGCCTTTGCTTTAATACCTTTCGCTTCAGCAGTCTTTTTTTCCATGCTTCTCTACGCTTTCCCAGGCGAGCTTCTCTTTCCTCAGCAGTCTCCTCGAGCAAACGTTGTCGTCTTCGCTCCCTCCTTTTCGCTAGACGCTCGGCTTTCTTGTCGTTTCCTTGCCGCTCTTCATTTGGCTCCATATCTTTTCAATTGGTATTTGATACCGTAATTGTTTTGTTAAACTTTTTATAGAACAAATTGCTTTGAAACCTGTCAAAGTTTTTGCAAACGTACAAAATACTGTAGTGCAAAAAGCAAATTATTTTCATGAAGTATCTGTCAGTTGAAATCGTCATTTGTCATACAACAACAAATTTTAAATTTGACCAATCAGTGTTCGCTATCCATGACAGTCCGCTATATTTTTTAGATCAGTGAGGATGACCACCCACTCAAGTTCGTTGGTCACGCCCGCGATATTTGATGAACTTTAGACTTGGCTAATGCTTTCGTTTCCCAGGGTGTAAATAGCCGGGGGGAATTAGTACCCTCGCACGGCGCTTCGCGCCTTCGACTCGGGGACAAATCTTTCTTATCTCAATTAAGATATCTTTTAAATGTTTTCGTTTTATTTCCAACGTTAAGTTTGTTTTATTTCTATTTTTATTGATTTATTTAATTTTTTTTGCCCACAAAATATTTACAAGTAGTAATATAAATAATTACACTAGTATAATGGGCTAGGGACCTTTGGAATCCTGTTGGACTTTTGTAGTAAGGCCCCTAGCTAGTTTTAGTATTCCAGTGATAAAAGACTATGAAAGAAGACATTATGTACCAGCACGCAGAAACTATTTACAACAAATTGAAGGCTAAAAAAATACTAAGAAATAAAATAGTACATTACTATCATTAGTGTTCCTAAGGCTAATGCTAATGTTTTTATATTTTTTTTACATTAATTAGATAATAAGTAAAGGGATTTTGCTTTTTTCTTAAAAGAAAAATATATTTTAGTATTTTTAAGTTCGTCATCAAGAAAATTCCATAAAGAAATTCCTTTGTTAAATACAGTATATATGCAGTAGTTTGTTCTTTTATAACTCACATGTAACTTGGTAGAATTTCGCGTATTATATATAGTTGTGTAAATCGTTATTTTGTTTGAAGGTAATCATTATAAAAGACAGGCAAATTTTGACAATAATTGCGACGATACATGAATAAGCTACATAAATAATTATTGAATTTGTAGATGTTCAAGATTTTCAAATCCCAAAATAGTGGTTTTGAATGTTCCATATAGGATTTAAAACAAATTAGTCAAACAGTTTTCTCTTGCACATTAAGTAACTTTTGAAGCCTGGTTGGGTACGTATATATGCGAACCAAAAACCATTTGTATTTTCAAAACAACAACAATGAAAATGGCGGGAAATTTTCGAACTTCGCAGTTCGTATGTCACTCGCAAGCGTGAAATACGGAAAATACCCGCATCTGCATGATCCCGGATGTAGTGGCATATGAGTTCTACGAGTGTTTTAGTTTCCAGTAAACACCATTGTCCATATAAAAAAGAATAGTATGTTTATCGGCGTACAATGTACAATTCGATCAGCATCAGGCAGCATCGTCATTTAAAAATATTGCTAGAGGTTAAAGATGTTGTAAAATCCGTTCTGCGCATCAGTTCTGCTCATAACAAAGGGGGACCCGCAGCTATAAACATTGCTCAAATTTGTTTGAATTCAAACGTAGAGTTTATGTACTATTTACAAGTATAGCAGCGAACCCGGGAAGTGTTAGATATTCAGTATAATATAATATATCATATTTTACAAATATAGCAGTTCAAAATGTAAACAAAGCGTTTGTTTTCATTACGGAGTTTACAGCATGTTTAAGATTAATTTCACGTAAAATTATCAGGAATCACTGCACAATGTTATTGAATATAGTCAGACCTCAGTTAAAGCAAACAATTTTTACGGGAAGTTGATTAAATATTTTTACTTTCGGTTGTCATAGATTAATTGCATTTAGATATTGTAACTTGAAAAGCTATTTTTAGCTTCGAGGCCACTTGCGTTTGGCGTTCTCAAAAACCGTAGATTCAATAGCCCAAAAATTTTTGTCGACTAAACTGAAGAAGAAATGTTGCTATTTTGCATTGATATGGCTTTAAACGTCAAACCGTAGGTCCCATGAACGATTTTCCACTCTAAATTTAACAATTTTTTGGTCTCGAAAAATTCGGTAAATTAAGTAAAAAATCAAAAATCGCTCAAATATTTACTTTAAACCCAAATTTTATAAATTGTATAGAAATACTTCCTCTTTGAAACGATTAATAAATGCTTGTGATGAATCTTTTTTTCAAATTTTAAGCGATCTGTAAATGACCTGTGGTGTGTCTCCTGTAAAACCAGTCTGAGAGACGTGAAAATAAAAAAATAAAATAGCCGTTTCCCTAAAAAAAAATCTGATCGAACTTAAAGTTATATTTCTATTAATAGTTTACCTAGACCTATACTCTGACAAATTTAGAAGATTTTGAATGTTTTCATTTTGCATACCTCCAGTCGTAAAACGTCCTAAATGTCTTAAAATGGAGCGGGTCTGTAATGTGATAATGTTATAATGTATGTATATAGTGTGTGTCGATAATTTTAGTTATAGTCTATAATGTTCAGAATTGTATGTATACTTACATGGCAAATAAATAAAAATAAAATAAATATTCCATTTTCATCAAAAAAAATAAATTATAAAACAATTAAAAAGAGTTAATATATTTTTTATTTAAATCTTCGTCTGAAATTTGTTCAAATTGCTTCATAATGACCGCCGCCGAAACATCGATCTCGAACCCCCCACCCCCCCTGCCCACGCCCCTTCCTGAACATACGTCAGCAGGTGGGTTCGAGATTGAACGCACCTCCTCGTAGCCAATAGGAAGTCGATAATACAATATGAAAGAGATAATAATTTAATGGGACTCCGCGTTTTCCACTTTAAGCCCCCATACACTTGCAGTGTCTTTCTCAATTTGAAACTTTGCAATATCGTTGTATCCCTACTTGAATTATCTATGAGTTCTGGTGAGGAAATGGTATATGCATAATTCCGATGGCGAACGAGAATTTCCAATCACGATTTCCCGTCCTATTTGCACGATTTCAAACCAGATGGGTTTTTGTTTTTAATAATGGTAACCAAGCAATGAAATATTGTTTTTTCTAAACAGAATGGAAGCGAAGAAGTAGAAACACTACCGTCGCGACCTGAAGAAGATTTACTACACACACCTCTCTCCCCACGTGAAATGTCCAGACTTAGCAGACGCATTGTGGTTGAGTGGGACCACCTCGCTGGTCTTATGGATATATCCAGAGAAGAAAGAGATAACATTCGATATAGCCTCGTATACCATGATAATTGTTCTCGTGCAGAGAAAATTTTAGCCATTTTCAACAACAGGGAAGGTTTCTCACGTGAAAAATTGGCTGGCTGCTTAAAGGAAATCCAAAAGTTAGATTTGATCGAGAAAGTTCGCACCGGTGAGTGGAGAAACTTGTGAAAACTATCTAAGAATTATTAACCGAAAAGGTTGTTGGCCCATATACAATGATCTGTAAACTACGACTGAATACTATATCGTTTTGAATTCAGTGAGCTCATTTTGAAGCCACAATATTTTTGTAAATAGGATAACTTTTCTATATTATCAACCAGCTGTATCGGTTTAGCTATATAGTTTGAAAGACACAGCTTCCCTATATCTGCTAATGTGTCTTACAACGTTTTAAACACAATATAATTAAAAGCAATGTAGCCATGTTCGTTTGATCTCATTAGCGATTACACTAGGTTTGTGGTGGTGCTGACACCAATGTGATCACCACTGCTTTTATTTATGCATTAAGTTGTTAGCGCACTCAATTTCCTTTCACCTCGAAGGCCGCAGGTTCAAGTCTCAGTGAGAACTTCCTCAACGCGTCTCGAACCCAGTCCTCATGTAAAGAGAGCAAAAATCAACGCTCTGCAACGCTCTGCCGAAAGTCGTGGGTTTTCTCCGGGTACTCCGGTTTCCTCCGACAGGAAAAGTTGACAGGGTGGGTTAGGTATAATTGGCATATGCTATTGTGGTGACCATGCTCTAGTTGGCAAAGCTAAATAAATAAACAAGCGTGTATCTATCACATATTTATATAGAGGATGTAATATGACCGTGCGGAGATACGAATTTTATATTTGAAATTTACAATATCCCTCACGAGTGAGCGAAGCGAGTGAGTGCGAGACAATGGCAAAACCAATTATATAAAGTTCGTATTTCCAATCGGCCAATGAAATATTCTGATTATTATATTTAAATCGATGAACATCGCAGCGCTTGTGAATTGCGAAAAGCACTACTCGCTTTTCCACAATGACCAAAACATGGTATTTCATCGATAGCTATATATTACATAGGGACACATTGCAATCGTGGTTATAATTTTTGTATCTTTTCTTCAAAAGCTATTTCTGCATGACTTTCTCAAGACCGGCTTCCAATGTTATATACCTCAGAACTTGAATAAATTGAAAAAACTCTAAACGTCTCTGTGAATAAAGATAATTATATACGCTCCACATGTATTTTCCATAATGCAAGTTGAAAAAAAAATGGGAAAGAAATAATAGAGCTGTCACTCGAGGACTGTGGGCTGCAGGACTTATCATAATGTCCTTCCCATCGTTTGGTAAGTGATTAATTTTAACGAACAAATCACCCCCCCATAACCAAATAATAAATGTGTGCACTTTCCATCAATAGTAAATGAGACAAAAATTATCGCACATTGATGAACATTCATGCCATTTTTAGTGTAAAGTTTCTTCGAAATTTTACAGTATTGTGACGAGTGGGGAAAATTCAAAAGAACCAGTCATTCATTACTCGCAGGGCCACCCTGTGCTCTGGCGAGTATAGGTTTCGGTTCGCATTTTTCTCCGATTGATGCGACAATATAGATGTGTGCTACCTAATGAGCTACCTAATTTTTACCCAAATCATCCAGAAGGCTCCTATCAATTTTTACCCAAATTATATAAATACCCTAAGTTTTTGATAAAAATTCTAGAATTTTACTAAAAAAGCCAAATATGCTGTTTATTTTAACCAGTATGAATACTGTATGTATACATTCTTTTAAACTGCTTTTTCACGATATTGAGGATTCAACGACAAAAATAATTAATTTGGAGATGTATTAATGCCAAATAAATCCTATTAAGCGGTCAAAACGACATCTTATAGCCCAGAAAAGACATAAATACAAAGACACCGATGCACAGGAACAATGGTATGAAATATAAACTCGATATAAGAATGCTAACTGCTAAGTGGTAGCTTTGCTTTTGCAATAAAAGACTAATAACCAGACACAGTACTAAAATACGGTGCTTTACAAATAAAACTTTCCGGCGTTTCCGCCTGCAAGCTGTGCTAAAAGTAAAGGTTATATTTTATAGTACGCTACATTCCGCCTGTCTGCCGGCAGTTGTTCTGTACGCTTGATTAAAACTTCGCTTTAAAACCTTCAAAGTAAACTATTGTTGGATCAAAATACCATCAAAATAAATAAAAAAGTAAGGCGACTTCATTGAGAGAAAACCAACGATACGAAAGTTATTAAGGATCAAACTTAATTTTATTTTATAAGTTAAATAATAATTCTGAGCTATTTTTCAACAATACAATTTTGCTTGAGTTTCAAGGGCCATAAATTGCGAGAATAGTGCTGCTTAGTAATGAATTTGGCATCCGTAAGTACAATTTCGTAAGCTGATTCGAACGATGGTATTTTTATCCTTGTTGGGTCACTTGGATGGATAAAACCAGAGATAGTCGGTCCTGAGAGTCCAACATTAATTAATTTTAAGGAAGCATATTTGTTTCCGAACAAACTCGTACCCCAATAAACCGTCTGCTATGGTAGCAGTACCAAACGTGTCCTTGGAATACCGCAATTTGGCAACAGGGGACATGTTCTATAGCCCCAGCGAGTTAGCGCTCTTCCGAGCGACTTGTACATTCGTTCGTTCGTTCGTTCGTTCGTTCGTTCGTTCGTTCGTTCGTTCGTTCGTTCGTTCGTTCGTTCGTTCGTTCGTTCGTTCGTTCGTTCGTTCGTTCGTTCGTTCGTTCGTTCGTTCGTTCGTTCGTTCGTTCGTTCGTTCGTTCGTTCATTCGTTCAGTCATAGTGTAAACTTTCCGGGGGGTGTTATTTATTGTACTTGGTCAGAGCTTTGAAGGTTATTTATGCAATTTCAGTTGTTTTATTTAAATATTCTTTTGTCCTTTTGCCAAGTTTACAAAAATTTCGAGGAATCGTTGTCGGTATTGCAAATTTTTGTAAATTTTGTAACATTCGCTTCTCGTGTTGTGTAAAGGATCTTTACCTTGGAACATCCGATTTTTCCTTTAGCAGCGCAAATTAGCATGCGCTATTAAACCGTAGATCACGACCGCGTGACGATTCTAGGAAGCAGCGACACCAGAGAAGGAATGAGAGTCTTCCCACAATGCACTGCGTTTTATGGCGTTTTATTATATATTATCGATTTCTCGCTCTGCGCCGTTGTTGTTCGGTCTGCTTTCGGTGTGTTGCACCTCAAAGTTGGCGAATTTTTGCACCACTCCTGGGAAAGAAAGCTTCGTTTTTGGGAGGACACGAGCTTCTGTTTGTTCACTGTGTCAAAACACCCTTTAATCTTGTTTCGGGAAGGATTACCCTGTGTTCAACTTCAATTCCGTGAAGTTCATGTTAGTTCTACGGATAGTTTGACAATCAGAAGAATAGTCCTTTGACAAGCTGTGGTTAACGGGACAAATACTATGGTAGGTGTTCGAGGGGTTTAAATTCAACTGAAATTCCATTCTGGAACAGTAGATTCGGTGCTGCAGGCACAAATAACATCCATATTAACAAAGTGTTCAAAGAATCTTATGAATGCTTTCAAGGACATTATAAGCTGATACTTTCAAATTTTAAGCAACAAGAAATTGATCTGGTCGAGTGTTTGAACACACAATATCCAACAGAAGCAGAGGCTATATTGAAGAAGATAGAAGATAGGGGGAAGAAAGTTAGTAGCATTTATGACGTTAGACGATTACGAAAATATGCTAGAGACGGATTTTCCCCGAGGGGAATAAGAATACAACATCTACAACAATGCCAACAACTAGAAATCAATATATACCAATTAACCTTACAAACTGGTGATACGTCATCGGAGCGTGCATGGTCATTTAAATATTTGCTCCGTAAAATTAAAAAAAAATAGATTTGTAGTTGCTATTTTGGTCTGCCTGATTGTGGAAATAGTTGGATAAAGAGATTGTTCTCAACAACGTTTAAAGTATTTGGTGAATTTGGTTTGGCAAATCGTTTTTTTGTGGCATCAAATCTTGGTTAGTGGAAATTTAAATTACTTGCAAAACAAATTATTACGAGCGCGCGCGCTTGTAGGACGGTTGATCAACGAACGAACGTCACGTCATCACGTGCGCCATAACGGTCAATTAATCAGAATTAAATTAGAACAATAACTAATTATAGTCGAAGAAGGACACAATCGTAATATCCTGAGCTGGACTTGTTTGGAATTGAAGAGACAGTTGATTTTAGCTAAATAGCTTACTTAAATAAATTGCTTAACTCAGTACTACACAGGAAATGTCAACGGAAATTAAAACGTTAAACTTTGCTGATGGATTTCAGTGTAACTGGTACAAGCGATTGTTTCAAACCAAAAGAGGCAGATCTGCGCACCTGAATCGTTGTCTGAAAAAGCAAAAATCGTCGTCAAGTGTAGCTGCATTCGGATCTTCCTGCAGCGGTCAACCAGAGAATTTCGTCATTGTTTCTAACGAAATAGAATTTGAAAATACCACCGAAGCACGCCCTCGCCTGAAGCAAATATTCCCAAAGTATGGGGTCTTCATACAAAAGAAGATTTACACCAGATTCTCAACGCAACCCATGAACAAATTGTACTTTGGCGAAAGAATGTTTTCAAGCTACCTACTGGTGGAGCTGGAAAATTTCATTGCAGAAACTACTAGTCTTATCAACATGTGGAACTGAGAATCAATGGAAATGAAAGATGTTGCCCTGAAAGCTGTCCTTCAGAAACCATCATTTAAATCCAAATGTAAGCAACATAGTGAATGCGTACGAAGACGGTTCAATTTGTGGAAATTGGGAGATTTTAATGGTTTGTTAAAAGAGTGCAGAGCAATTCAATCTCGACTCCAATCAACGTGGAAGCCAAGATCGCCTGAACACGTCTCTCGTATGTTTGCTAACTTAATGCTTTCTGGTAAAGTCAACGCTGCCATGAGATTACTGGATGACAATTCAACGTCTGGCGTTCTTCAGTTATCAGAGGTTACATTACGAGGACTGAAATCAAAACTTCCTGAACCTATGGAAGCAGATAAAGAAATATTAATCACAGGACAGGTACCATTTGTTGATCCAGAAGCTTACGTAGAAGCTTACGTAGCATGTCGTTTGATACCGCTTGACAAATGCCCGGGCGTGAGGCCTATTGGTATTGGCGAAGTCATCAGACACATAATTGGAAAGTCGATCATCTCTGTCATCAAACCTGATATTTTAATGAGTACTGGATCACTTCAACTTGCAGCTGGTTTACCATCGGGATGTGAGGCAGCAGCCCATGCCATGGAGGAGATTTTCCAAGAAGATGAAACTGACGCCTCACGGCGGATGTTGAACGTGTAAAGCTTGACATGCTTTAAAATGGAAAAAAGAATTAATGCAAAATTTGAAGCAATATCGAATAATGCAGCAAACGAAAAGCCAAAGGAAAACCCAAAAGAAGACGAGTCTCGGCGGGAGATTGCCCATCATGAAAAAACTATTCAAGAATTACAGAGCAAAATTACGTCGTTAAGGAAGTTGCACAATAAAAAACTTGAACAAAACGAGCAAGTCATCTCGTCTCTAGAGAAACAAATAATAAAGGCACAGTATGAACAATCGACTCTGACAAAACAATTGGCTGAAATCACACAGGAAAGAGACTCATTGATATTAGCATTTTCTCTAATCATCATTGATAAATCTAGTGGGCAAGATTATGAATACAGCTGAAAAACTTTCAAGAAACCAAAACGAAATGTAAAAATGTCAAATCTACTGGGAAGCCCGCCGATGTTGCTACAATCCTGGCAAAAATTATGTGGACACCTAACCTTTGCAATGTTAATATTAACATTGAGACGTTCTTTCATGAAATTTGTCGCCCCCTGCCCCCTATTCAATGTTGTTTCTCGCATTCAAATTTTAAAAGTTTCATTTACCAAAATACCAACATTGAATTGGGGGTAGGAGGGGGAGAAATTTTCTGGCGGATTAATTATGTAGAAATAGATATATTTTTGTTTGACGCACTCGCTGTCCACGATAATTTTTGCCAGGATTGTCTGAAATTATCACATATTTCCAACCGTCCGATTTCATGAATTTAAGGCTCGATCCAATGATAAAATAGGCTTGTTTGTTTAGCAAAAGGAGCAAACAATTAGTAAATCAGGTTATATTTAGTTTTTTTTTTCTTTCCGATCTATGTTAAGTGTCACCTATCACATTACATGTCAAGTGGCCTTTTACGTCTTATCGGGATTTATTCAATTACAACTTAATCTGCAACTCTAAAAAGAAATATATTCGTATAACAAATTATTGAACATTGTGGAGAACGACGATGTCTTATAGTACTTAGTCAGACAGTGAAAAATGTTCAGCCAAAAAATGCGAGGTTTGTTTACCTCATAAGTTAGAGCTAAACAGATCTATCTTTAGTTCCTGAGCGTGAATCATTTGCATTATTGGTAATACATGCATTTCATAATGCAGATCCTTTGTTAGGCTCAGATTCCAGCCGTTGTGTTCTCGCCACTCGCCCACTTAACGGCTGGGTCAATGAGCTTCGGCATTGTTCTGATTGACCAATCACATTACAGCCCCCCCAAAATTTGGGGGGCATAAATTTGTATTAATAATGCATAAATTTAACACAAAGGTAATAAATTAAATATGGCTAAAGCGCATTGCTGAAGCGTTCGAGTGCAAATATGTGCACTTAAAAAGATCTGTTCAACGATATTTATACGTGAACTACATGTGTTAAAGCGACATTTTTGGGGGAAAAGTAATTCCGACGATTTTTACGACACAAACCGAAGTCTCTCTAAGAATAATAGTCGCTGGAATGTTTTCGAAATTCGAATCTGTTGCATATTTTTATATTGTGTTTATAAATAATATATCTCATTGAGGATTCTTGGTCATGAAAGAGCAAAGAATATTTTGCGTGTGGCTTAGCAAAATTAATAACCTTTCTTTTTTTAGCTTAGTTAGTCCTTTGAAACCCTCCCTGTTTCTGCTGATTCAGTTGGACATTTATAATTATATTTACAGTAAACCTGGATGTGTTTATTATTGGGCTGGTCTGACATATTGCCAGGAAAGTAGAAAATGTTATTTTGCAAAGTCTTGTGACATATAATATATTAGTATGTAGGATATTGCAGTATTTAAAAGGCTTAGACATGTTTATTGTTTATATGATCTAGATGTCAGGTGGGAAACCTTGCCAGGCAGCTAGGATGTCATGTTTATACATGTTCATGAGTGAGTTCATCAAATATATACATGTATTTTTGAACACGAGTTGATATGATAGTCAGGATCTTGGAAACTGCCTCGTCCTGCCTAGCTGGGATTCTATAAACAGACCCTTTCATGGAGCCCATGGCTAGGTAATAATAGGCTTGCATGGTTAGATCTCCAACAAGCTAGTTTGGGCCATTTGACAATATTTTTTAGACTGGGCGGGTAATTTTTGATCTGAAACTGATATATCAGGGTGCTCATATATGCTAATTGCTAATTACAAGCAAGCACAATAGATTCAATATTATTTTATATATTGACAATATGATTTACCATGAATACTAATTGAATAAATGTGGGCACATAGTTATTTGAAGGACAATAAATAAATCCAATTGGTATCATGTGTTTCTTTAATTGTTGTGAAGGGGCAAAGAATGGGACTTGTTGGATAGCCTAAGTTGAGGATTTATGGAATAAAAGTATGCAATGTTTTAAAAATTCAGACATCAGTGAAATATGCATTTAGTCTGTTCAACAAGCTCAAATTGTTTGCTCTCAGCCCTCAGGCTGAGTTTTGGAAACCTTGTCAGTATGGTATTAAGAAAAGGATAGTTGTCATGTCAATGTGTGTTTTTAACGGCTGTTCATATGAAAGCCAGACTGAGAATGACAAAGCATGATAGATTGCTAGTTCTGAAAGATTGAATATTTATTTAAGCTAATAAACAAGGGTTCAGAAAATTTGTTGCAGTAACACTTCAGTTAGAAAATATCAAAATGTTAAACACCAAAATTATCCTGGCATGGGGGATTAAGTTTTCATGGGGGAAAAGAAGCCAATTTACTGGGGGGGCACCCCCCTAGCCCTGGCCTGAGGGGGTGCAGGGGGATGCTATTTTCATGATAAAGCAAAAAATTATTAGAGACAAAATGACATACAGTAATTTGAGTAATAACATGATAATAAGTGAAATGTGAACAACAATTACAATTTAAATACAGTAGTCAAGCTGGACTTTGCAGTAGTGAAGCAAGTTGATGGGCGGGTGGCACTTTCAGTGCCATGATGGTGCAGATGAAATACCCCCTACCAGATCATGCTGGATCCATCCCTGGATGTATTTACTGCCATGGGGATGCACCCCCTTAACATTGGCAAAGGGGGTGTAAGGTGAGAGGGGGAGGGGGTATTTCATCAAATATTTTTTTTTTCAAATTGGAAAGGCAATATCCTGTCACCATTACCACAATAATACCCCCTCACTGCTGTATGTAGCTACAAGTGATTACTGACTTGGTCAACAGTCGTACACTGAACCATATATGGGTCGATAAGCACACCCGGCTTCCATTTGTACAGACAACCTATACAACACCGAAATAAAGCCAAGAACATTTTAAATTTCAAATATTCTTGCTACATCAAAAGACTGTTGTGAGGTACAGTTCAACATCAAACACTAGGTCTTCTATTTAATTTGTAGCTTTGAAGTTTGCAGGCTTCCAGACCATCATAATGATCATATCTTGACAGACTATTGTTTGGTCTATAAAAGACTTAGTTCCTTCACTGTCCCTCGAAGAAAATCGATCATAAGGAAAATTTTTAGATATTAATCACAAGGCGTAAAATTGCATTACGTATAACTATAGTCTATAAACGACTCAAATATAAACATTAAATTTATGTTCCTCTTCAAAGAATATTCATTGAAAAACCATTTGTTTGAAATAAGACGTTAATTATTCAGATTCACCTGCTTTTGTTGGTAGGGTTTATTGTATTACTATTTTAATAGATATATAATATATTCATTGACTCGTGTACATTGCAGTTCCTTTCTTCGTTAAAAACATACTAGAATTTAATAACATTTTGTCAAATGATCGTAAAAGCTTCCATTTTGTTTTCCTTTACAAAAAAGTTATCCATAAATGCACAAAATTGTTAAAATTTGCTATTTCCTCTTCGAAACAAAATTGTTCGCTCCTGACAGCCGCCATTTTACATTGCACAGAAATACATAATTATCCAAAACATATGCATAAATTTAAATATTAACCTTGACGTCACAGACAAGAAATATTAACCATTGACCCAGCCGTTAAGTGGGCGAGTGGCGAGAACACAACGGCTGGAATCTGAGCCTAATCCTTTGTTAGCCTGCAACATTTTGCAATGAGTTTGCAGCATGGAGCATCATATTCCCGAGTATTCATACAATATAACTGTATAAAACTGTACAAATGTGTAAGTAATGTTATTTGGAAAGTTTAGTAAATTGATACGGTACACGGCTGTGCAGCGTAACCAAATTCAAACTAAATATAACAGACTATAGGGTAATTTTAGTGTATACGCATCCGAAGCCCTCACTATTTTCAGATTTTTTATAACAAACGCAGCCCAACAGCGACTGTAGAGCGCCTTTAATCTAACAGTGACGTCACATGGTACACGGCTGTGTAGCGTAGAGTAAAGAATACATAGCTTAAATATTTTAATCACAACGCTAAACAGCCGTGTACCGTGTGACGTCACTGTTAGATTAAAGGCGCTCTACATTCGCCGTTGGGCTGCGTTTGTTATAAAAAATCTGAAAATAGTGAGCGCTTTCTATGCGTATACACTAAATTAGCTCTATAGTCTGTTATATTTAGTGAGATTTTGGTTCCGCACTTAAAGTACTTTTGTTGAAAACTCGTTTTACTGCTTCTGCATAATTAGTCCAGCAAAGCGTATTATCATGCCCAAAACTCAAAAGCCGCTCACCTACAAAATTATAAATATGCTTTAAAAAACAATTAAGCCAGTTTAAACAATCTGTTTGTTACCCTAAAGCAATGGCAGCATCAAAAATTTATAGTAAAAGGCCTGCTTTGGGTGAAAATTTTCGATATTTTTCTTAGGTTATTTTCAGACAATCCTGGCAAAAATTATGTGGACACCTAACCTTTGCAAGGTTAATATTAACATTGAGACGTTCTTTCATGAAATTTGTCGCCACCTGCCCCCTATTCAATGTTGTTTCTGGCATTCAAATTTTAAAAGTTTCATTTACCAAAATACCAACATTGAATTGGGGGTAGGAGGGGGAGAAATTTTCTGGCGGATTAATTATGTAGAAATACTGTAGATCTATTTTTGTTTGACGCACTCGCTGTCCACGATAATTTTTGCCAGGATTGTAGCTGCGTTTGCCGGAATCGCTACTCTGTTTTAGAAGATAACATAATATTAGACCCTAATGAGTCTAATGAAAACAATGTTGACGAATTGAATGAATCGAAGCGTGACGAAACATAGCACAAGGAAAGACCAGTAAATCGCGACAATGCAGCGGGGAAAAGCAAAGGGAAAGGCAGAACAGTTATAATTGGAGATTCGATTGTGAAAGGATTAGATCAATTCAAGTTAAGCTGAGCTACCAAACAGAACATTGGCGTTCGGTGCTTTCCTGGAGCTACAGTTCAAGACATGAAGGATTAATTATATTAGACCGATTTTGAGAAGAAACCCAGACACCATAGTCTTACACGTCGGAACAAACGATGTTAAAGGCAACAAGGCAAGCAAAGTCATGGATGGTATTGACTCTTTGTGTCAAGAGATTAAAGAAACAAATCCAGGGGTTGAAATTACGCTGTCTGAGTTGACAACGAGAGAAGATAATCCTGAAGCCAAATAAACTGTAACTGAGGTAAATACCCTCTTTGAAAACTATTGTACAGCGACAAACATGTACTTGATTAAGCATAAAAACATTACTGATTGTTCATTAAATAAATCCAATTTACATTTAAACAAATTTGGATCAGCATCCTTTGCAAATAACTTTATAGAGTTTTTTACCACTGCTTTCAGGTCTACTGAAGATATCCAATATCCAACATTTACCAGCAGTTTTAGAACGCATAGTGAGACGGTTGAGGTGTATGATTGTCCACCTGATATATCACCGCAAATTTCGGATAATATGTTAAATCCCGCTGAAGTTTTAAAAACTCTTAAATGTTTCAGAGTTGGTCATCTTAATATTACATCGCTCGTTAAACATGTCGATGAATTAAGAGTCTATATGAGATACGAACCATTTGATATACTAAGTATAAACGAGAGGCGCTTGGACGCAGATATAGCTAGGGATACCGTTGGCATCCAGGGCTATGATATGGTAGCTAAACACCGTAACCGAGAAGGTGGCGGTGTTGCACTTTATTACCGAAGCACTCTCAATGTTATAAATAGAACCGATTTAGTCCCCGCAGAAGTAGAAGCAGTCTGCCTTGAAATAATAAAGCCTAAATCCAAGCCCATGTTTGTTGTGTCAGTGTATAGTCCACCAAACACCAGCATTGAATTGTTTGAGAAAATTGAAACATTATTTCAAAATTTAGACAACGAAAGAAAAGAGCTGATACTTGTCGGTGTCTTAAACTGTGACTTCATAAAAATGCTGCTAACAACCAGATGAAAAGGCTGATCGACTTAATAAACGTATTCCAATTAACTCAGTTGATTAAAGAACCAACAGGTATCACAGATACCACAGCTACTCTTCTTGACGTGGCCATTGTAAGCAAACCGGATAATATCTGCAGATCGGGAGTTTTGCATATAGGAATAAGTGACCACAGTTTAATTTATGTTTTCAGAAAAATTTCTTTTGTTAAAAAGAAGAGATAAAAACCGTGAACGTAAGGAATTATCGAAATTTTAATCAACAACATTTCAATGATGATCTATTTCATCATCTAACCCTTTTAAACTCGGAAACTAACGATCCAAATATACTTTGGAATAATTTTGAGAAAACTTTCAATTATGTCTCTGATACCCATGCTCCTTTACGGAGCAAGAGAGTCGCCGTGGCTTACTGATAAAATAAAACTCGATATGAATCGTAGAAACTATCTTAAGAAAAAAGCGGTAAAAAATAATTCTTTGTGGTATCATAATGCTTATAAGGCTCTACGTAACAAGACAAACAAAGATGTCATTTGCGCTAAAAGGAAACATTATGTAAATCAATTGAGGAAACCTTTGGAAACCCTAAACTTATGTGGAAATACTTAAATTGTCTGCTGAATAGAAAGTCTAAACGTACTGGTATACAAGCCATTAAAACTGTCGAGGGAGACGTTGTCGAGAGCCAGACAATAGCCGAACTGTTTAATGAGTATTTTTCTAATATTGGTCCGACCTTATCAAACCAAATAACAAGCATAAGTAGCCAGGGTTTTGAAAGTTACATGACGCATGAAGCTTCTGGAATATTTGAATTTGCGACTGTTGATAGCACAATTGTACTTAATGAACTGGAAAATTTAAACTCGTCTAAATCGATAGGCCCAGATAATATCACAGCTAAACTGTTAAAAGACTCCAAAGAGACAATTGCACCTTTCTTGGCATAAATATTTAATACTTCCCTATGTAGCGGGATATTCCCCGATAACCTTAAGGTGGCAAGAGTCTCACCAATTTATAAAGAAGGTAATAAAAAAGAAAGAGGTAATTATAGACCGATATCTGTTCTTACGGCTGTCCCTAAACTATTCGAGAAGCTCGTATGCATACAGTTAACAGATTATTTAAATGCAAATGACATTCTAAGCCCGTGTCAGCCAGGCTTCCGTCAGAACCATTCAACAATGTCGTCCTTGTTGTCAAATAGCGATTCATGGCTTGTCAATATGGATGCTGGGCTTGTAAACGGAGTTGTATTTCTTGATCTGCGTAATGCATTTGATATGGTTGATCATGAAATCCTCATTAAGAAGTTAAAAATTTATGGGGTTCAAAATACTGTTCTCAAGTGGTTTATTTCATATTTATTTGATCGAAAACAGTTTTGCAAGGTGGAAATTGCAGCATCGTCAACCAAAAATATACGCTGTGGAGTTCCGCAGGGTTCAAATCTCGGTCCATTGTTATTTTTCTTGTATGTCAACGATCTCCCGCACTGTCTGAGACACTCTAGTGCTGAAATGTATGCGGATGATACGAATTTGACGGCGTGTTCCCATGATATTAACAATTTACAAGCCATTTTAAATTCGGACTTAAACAATATCCATCAATGGATAGTAGCCAATAAATTAACTTTGAATGTTGGTAAAACAGAGTATATGATTATCGGGACTATTCTCAAGTCAGATGGATATTAACATCGGGGGAATAAACTTAACACAAGTTGTTTCTATAAAAGTCTTAGGCATAATAATAGATGATCAATTACGCTGGGATGAACAAATAGACAACATAAGTAACAAAGTATCTCAAGGCATCGGCATGTTACGACGAGCTAAACAGTTTGTTAAAAGAGAAACGCTTCAATTTCTTTATAATTGTATGGTTCAACCTTATTTTGAGTATTGCTCTTTGGTTTGGGGCAACTGCGGCGAATCCCTGAAGGAAAAACTGCAGAAACTTCAAAACAGGGCGGCAAGGGTCATTACAGGTGATACTTATGATATACGTTCAAAAGATATTTTTAAAAAGTTGAGTTGGAAAACCTATCCGTAAAAGAAAAGAAAAAGCAAGTGCGTATGTTTCAAAAGCTATTACCGGAAATTGCCCGAAAAATATAGTTGAAAAGTTTAAAATATCAAATTCTGCAAGATATGATTTAAGAAGCAATAATAAATGTTTAGCACTGCCAAAACCGAAAACAAATTCTATGGTTCGCACCTTTGGATATGCTGCTGCTAAAATTTGGAACGAAAGGAATAAAGTAGAGTGAATGTATCTCTATCTCTGTATTTTTGTTTATTGTCTTTTAATATTGTAAATAACTGCTATACTTATTGACACACGGCCTAATGAAAAACAACCATTTTAATTTGTATATATATATATATATATATATATATATATATATATATATATATATATATATATATATATATATATATATATATATATATATATTTTTTTTTTTTGTGTGTTTTTTTT